TAGTAAACAAAGTTATTAAACTTCCTAAACAGGCCGTTTTCATATCCAGTAAAGTGCAACATTTAGCATCTGCGCATATGTTAAAGAATTAGCGCGTGAAAACCGAAAGTCTCTTTTGCAAGATCGTACCGGATATGAAATTGCTAATGTGTAAATTAGCAGGGCAAAGTCAGATTGTATAAAAGGCGCTTGGAAATTCAAATTTTCTTGAGAAAACGAAAATCAGCTTGTCGAGCTGCACTAAGTTAAGATCAGCAGCCGGTGGACTTTATTTCATGTGCGCTTAATAACTTAATGAATTATGACAATTTTTGTCACAAAAACATGTTGATTTTACAGCCCTCCGACAGATTTATGTTTCGCAGATATTCCCATAAATAATAATAAGAGTGTTCCGTCCACAGCGATGTACTAAGGCGGACCTTATTAGGGAGGTCACGCTCGAGGAGATGTTCATCCAGGCGTAAACATCTCTGATAGTAACTTTCTTACATGAAACTGTTTTGTGAAAATGGGTCCTTTTTACCATTTTTCTCCTCACTTAGCAGCCTTAGTTCATGAACTAGTCGCAGATAGTAAGCAAAATAGGGTCTGAAATATAGAAAACATTATTACTGACTACTTATCGAAATACGCTTCTCTGTGAACGAATTAAGAGGTATAAGAAATAGCCATCGTCAGATAATGGCGCAACAACAAGGAAAAATACATAGTAGATTGGCCATTTCTGGTTTATTCGCCAGTTTAAGCCAGTCATATCCGATCCTACCTGTGAACTATCGACGATTCGAACCTGGACTCCTTAGTACTTTAGTCGAACGCTCTACTAATGAACCAATGCCTCTTTTTCTTGTCGGTCGTCATCGGTTGTGCAAATTATAAAAGAGTATCGCTCACCCGGACATGCTCAGCTTGTTGTGCCTTAGGGTTTAATGGACGGACGAGCGGGTCCTCTAACAGATCGGTTTACGCATATTTGCCACTGTATATGCCCAATCTAATACCGGCAAGACCGTGAGCTCCTAGCTCAACTGTTAGGACGTTCGCGCTGACGGGAGAGATCGCGAGTTCAAATCTTAGTGTGGCAGCAGTTTCAGCGGCCACA